ACGTAAGCTAGATACGTGTGGCATCCCTTTCTCATCATATTCCTCGCTCTTACGGCAGATATGATACAACTGTTTGATTTGCCTCTATCTCCCTCGAAACGTAAGGTCAAACCTTCACCGCTTTCGAGTTCAAGAACCTTCGTATAACAATCAACCCTAGCATGATGCTTCTCTAGCCAATCCATCCCGAGGATCGCGTCGAACTCGATCATGCTCAGCGGTACGAAGTCACACGTCAAGTTCTGTCCCTCCACCTCCACCTCACACGATGGATAGTAGCTATCTCTTTCGATATCATCCCCTAGAGGCGTGGATACCAATAGGGTTTGAGTCATCGGTACAAGTGGTCCGTTGAATCCGCTGGCGAACGCCTCACTCACAAATGATCGTTGCGCCCCGGTATCAATAAGGATCCTTGCGTCTCTCCCGTTTATCTTTAGTGTTCCTACATTTATAAGTAACGTAAGACACACTATCTAATTAATAGGCTCGTTTCTCGAGTGGTAGAGTATGTTGGTTGTGTTTCGGGTGGAGTCCGTTCGATACCCTCCCGAAATTTCCCGGTTTCTAACCTTTAGGACCGTTTTAGGGCCAATCCAAGTGAAAGCCGGCCGCTTTTCACGAAAGCCGGCCGGGTTTCGTCTGCGAGAAAAATTGCTTGTATACAATCACGAAAGCCGCCCGGTTTTCGTCGCCGTAGTTTTATTCATCGAATGGATTTCAAGGTCGGCCGGTTTCTACGAAACCAGGCCGGGTTTCAGCAGCGCAGGAATCCCCAGGCCTAGCGAAAGCCGGGCGGCTTTCACCAAAGCCTGGCGACTTTGAGCGCCGCATGTTATTCCGGAGTAAATGTTCCAAATGTCAGCCGGTTTCTGTGAAAGTCGGCCGGTTTTTGTTTGCGAGGAAAATTGCTGATTTAATATATATGAAAGCCGGGCGGTTCTTGTTGGAAACCGGCCGGCATTCGTTGTCGTAGTCTTTGTTCCAATAAATCAAGACGAAAGCCGGGCAGCTTTCGTCAATGCCGGGCGGCATCCGCCCAGGGCGAGGATTCTCCTCCTCTTTTCCCCCTCAAACCCGACCAAACTCGTCGGGGTTAAAAATTTGCAAGTTCCACACTCCTATTGTTTATAAAAAAATTAATACGTGAGTTTAAGGAATTACCCGCAACGGAGTCCGGGTTGGCACGAGCATCCGCCTCCGTCATAGCATAGACCCGAGCTTGGGTCCTTCCTTGATTTACGGACGGCGCGTTGCTGGCACTCGCCCCACCATGCCCACCGCTAGCATTAGGTGCTCCGGTTCGGTTCCTGCTCGCCGTCGTTGCACTACTTGGGCCGGCCCCCATGGCTCGCCCAAGTTGTGGGCAACTCACCTTCAAATGCCCGACCTCCCCGCATTGATAACACCTCGGGGGATCGCGACACTTGCCAAAGTGGTTCTTCTTGCAGTTGCTGCATTTCTTCACGCCTGAGCCTTGTGACACAGAGCTTTGCCCGCTCGGGCCTTGATTTCCCCTTACCGGTGGTGCAGGGGTTTTGAAGGACCCCCCTCCCCCGTGGTTCCCCTTCTTGTTGGAACCTTGAGGGCCACGGTTCTCCCATTTTCTTTTCTTTGCCTCCTCGGCATTCCTTCGTTTTCTTTCCTCCCACTCTTTCCCCCCCTTCAAGCCTTGTTCAACCACTTGACTAAACGTCATATTAGGCGATTGTGTTGCCCTCTCGCGTATGTCAAGATCCAAGGCATCCCAGAAATGGTTCACCATCCAGTTTTCGTCACAAATGTACTCCGGTATGAACTCAGCAAGCTTTCTGAATTTGTGCTCAAGTTCCTTCACCATACATTCACCTCCTTGGGTCAAATTCGTGTACTCCCTCCTCTTCAAGTTCACCTCGAAGTCGGAGTAGTATTGGCTAAAGAATTCCTGTCGGAAATTCTCCCAAGTGACGGCCTCGCCGTACTTCCCCTTTGTTCCATCCCACCATGTGGACGCCATGCTTTCTAGTAGCCTCGTGGCTACTCTCAACTTCATGTGGGGTGGTAGTTGCATGTCGAGGGCCGCCTCGTTGAATCTTTTGATCCACTCAGCCGCCACGGTGATGTCCCCCGTTCCATCAAACGGTTTACATCCCAAGTCTCTTGCCTCCTTGAGGTACTTTGAGATCCTTATTATAGGGACCTCGGCACCTCCCCCTCCTTGGGATTCTATGATTTCCTGGGGAGTCACGCGGCTTCCTCTCCTTGAAGCCCCTTCCAAAGCACGCCTTGCCCGGCGCCTTTGGCGATCTTGGTGGTATTGCCGGAGCAATTCCTCAATCCGTTCAAGAGCTTCATTATCGTCGCTCTCGTCACTTGCATCATCGTATTCCCCATCATATGGGGTCTCAACCGGCTCGGTTCCCGGTTGGTAAGTTGAATCCTCCTCGGACTCATAGTGCTCGTCTATGGTTTCCACATGACCGTCACTCACGGTCAGCGAGTGGCCTGCACGGCCTTGTCTCCTAGACACCCTCGATCCTCCTCGACTGCCACGTTGGGATCCTCTTGGTGCTTGGCCAGTCGGGTTCCGTCGAGTAACCTTCCCGGTACGTTCCATTTCTGAAAGAAATTTAGAATGAGTCATTAGACTCATATCAAATCACTAGTACAAAAAACACATTCTATAACTAGCTTTTTATATGGGTTCATTTAAACCCCTTTTAAAATGTAGGCTCGGGGTCATATTTATAAATAATGAAAGTTTCGAATAACTTAATGGGTAAGTTTTATAAATATAAAACTTTATCTATAACGGGTTTATAAATAACCGACATAGTTAACTAAAAACGGGGTTATTTTAATAATTTTCACAAATTTAAGTTTCAAATGGGGTCTTTTTTATAATTTTGACTAATACTTTTCTATGTCGGTGGTTGTTAACCCTTACGAAAAGGTTAATCCAAAATTAAAACCCTTAGTAACCGAACAGCCATGGCAAGATATACAACTCATCCTTAGCTTCTTCCACTTTTCCTGAAGAAAGTCGAAGAGGACGACGTTGCATTGCTGCTCTTCATTAACTCTCGCCCCCAAACAGCTTTTCATTAACACTCGACGCTGCATTGCTGCTCTTCGTTTACTCTAGATGCGCCGCCGCTGCTCTTCGTTCCACACTCTACACCGCACCGCTGCTTTTCATTAACAACCGTTGCCCCTGCTCTTCTTTAGCACCAGACGACGCACCGCTACTCTTCGTTAACACTCGACGGCTCAGCGCTACTCCTTGCTATCAGTCGACGACCTACCAATTTCTGAGGCTGATTCTGCTATGCATTAACCAACTTTCACATAGGTAATTTTTCATTACTTTTTATTTACATTATACACTGAATACTTTTATCAGTTATGCTTCAATTGTTGTATGGTTTTATCGATCTAGATGTTGCTTAAAAATTTCACAGAAAAGAAGATATGGAAGTCAATTTTACTCAATTATGTTTTAGTTTAGACTATGTCTATCATATGTTTGTGAAAATGCCCGAGTGAGATTTTGAATGGATGTTTCTTCATTGTATCATTCTTTTATTAATATGAAGAACAAGATGAGTTGGTCATTTTACAAGTATGGTTTCTATGCTTGATCCATGCCTATGCACAGTTATAAAATTATATAAGAGTATAGCTTAATTTTTTTTGTAATGAACAACGTACCAATCCTAAATCATATACTTCACTTTTAATTGTTGCTAGTCAGTTTAACTATATTTATCATAGGCAACTTGTTTATAACTCTTTTTGGCAACATTTTTATCCATTACATACAAAAGAGCTTTATGCTTGTTTGAACTACGTCTTATTGGGTACAAACAGTGTTCACAAACTTATATTTGGGGGTGGGGCCAGGGGGATAAACTCATAAATATCAATAAAAACATGTGGGAGATTCTTAAAATAAAAAATCTCATGCATGAAAAATGTCTTTTCCCAAATCATGTGCTTTTTTTTCTTCTTTAGAAGTGTTACATTAGAAGTAAAGAAAACTGAGTAGTGATATGATAAATATTTTTCTTCTGCATTATGATGGAATGTCTTTTCCCAAAATGTCTTTTCCCAAAACCAAACATGAAGACTCTTCTAGATTTGTGAGATATAACTCTAGCAATATTAAATCAGTTAATTTGTGCAGCCATTCAGTAGTTTATAGCATGACTGATTTTTGTACTGTCTCATTAGCGCTATGCAGGCACATCAATGAAACCTGAAAATAATTTCATTTTAGGGCCTGCAAATTACAACAACTGTTTCTAGCTTCTTTTTTTGAGTTTTTGTGATTTCTTATAGTTTATGTTCTCCAAAATGATCGTTACTTCCTGCAGGTACTATTTTCCGAGAGCCTATCCTTTGTAAAAACATTTCCAGACTTGTTCCTGGTAATGTTGTGTTGTTCTTGCTAAATGTAATTCACACATGATCTGACACCTATATCAGCTACACCCTAATGGTTTATCTCTTAAATCTGCAGGTTGGAACAAGCTCATTTGTATTGGCAGGCATGCCTTTGGTGATCAATACGGTGCCACTGATACCGTCATTTAAGGAGCAGGAAAGCTCAAAATGGTTTTTTATGAGTTGATGATGTTTGATGTGACTCTGTATTACTTATATGTAAGTTTTTTTTGAATACATCTACTTAAAACATTTTCGTCATTTATTGATTGTTGCCAGTTCCAGAAAATGGGGAAGTCCCGATTGAGCTCAATGTCTATGATTTCAAAGGCCCTGGGGTTGCCCTTGCTATGTACAATGTTGATCAGGTATGCAACTATTTTCTTGAACTTGTGTGTCAGACTGTCAGTGCTCATTCTTTTCTTGATTGACTGATTTTTCCTCTTATTCTTTTTCTCTTATTGGTGCAATTTGCTAGTCAATTCGTGCATTTTCTGAATCATCAATGTCAATGGCGTTTTCAAAGAAATGGTCTCTTTACTTGAGCACAAAAAATACAATTCTAAAGAAGTATGATGGAAGGCAACCAATGATTACTTATTTTTACCCTACAATCTTGGTAAGTTTCTGTTTTTGGAAATGTATTAAAAAATATCACAGCATACTTCCTCGAGTTCATAACGAGTGCCATTGTGAAAGGAAATGTTCATTTCACAATGTGTGTTGTTTTATAAAACCAAGAAAATAGGTTTTGATGTAATTTTCGCATTTTTACCCTTCTCCAAGACCCCTTTGCAAAACTTTATTGGATAATGAAGAGTGAAGTTATTAGTTTTTCCATGTAGAACCTAGCAACTTCTTAATACACAAGATTTCTTCCAAATGTTACTTGCACTGAACTGGAGGGATTAGTATTTAATTATTTATACATCTCTTTTTGAACCAACCAACTTATATGAGCATTTGGTATTCAATTTGCTCCAGTTCAAGGGCATCTTTGAAGAGGTATATCAGGAGAAATGGAAGGCAAAGTTCGAGGAACATCACATGCTACAGTATAAAATAATATTCTCAGTAGTATCATGTATTGATGTTCTGAATGATATGGCTGTTGGCATTAGGTATGAGCATCGGTTGATAGATGACATGGTAGCATATGCAGTAAAAGGTGACGGTGGCTATGTATGGGTCTACAAAAATTATGAGGGAGATGTGCAAAGTGATTTACTTGCACAAGGTGAAGTATTCTGATATGTGAATAGGATTAGAGTAATGCATTACCTATCAAACTATGACATACAAGCTTAAGTTTTTTTATCCATTACTGAATGTAGGTTTTGGTTCTCTGGGTCTTATGACTTCTGTTTTGGTTAGTCATATTTCACTATTTTTGTCATTTTCATCGTCATGGTATATATATATCTAGTTTATGACTTTGGTTTTTGAAAAAGGCTGTCTTGGGTCTTATGACTTCTGTTTTTCAAAAATAGGCTTGCCAATGGTGAATTTATTGGAACTTTTCTGGAATTACCATTTGAAATAAGAAGACTAAAAGCATCTATATTGGCTGTTCTCTGCAGTTATCCTCTGATGGCAAGACTTTAGAATCTGAAGCGGCTCATGGAACTGTGACTAGTCACTTTAGACTGCATCAGAAGGGACAAGAAACCAGATTTGCAGGAAACAACAAAAAACAAAAGTCGTACATTTACAATTGTTCCCACAACTTTCTTGAACTTAAATGCTCATATGTTTGCGAGAGATAAGATCATAATCCTCGATCTCAAGGCCCAAAATCCAGATTTTTAAGTTCAAGAAATCCAGATTTTTATGTGTGTATTGTTTTTATATTTGTATAGCTATAATATTGACTTAATGCGTTTTTCATTTGTAGTGTCGAATGCAAAGTCGAAGTTATGAATGTGGTTACTATGTTATGAAACATATGAGTTCTATTATCTCTACTAATGTTTTTTATTCATGGATAGAGGTAATTATTACTTATGTTTCATTATTTTATTTTTTTGTATTTCTTTTTATTTTATTTTATACTAATATAATGTTTTTCATCTTGTATAGGTATTCAATGTTCAAGATCCATTTAAAGAAGAAGATATCAATGAGATTCGAGAAGATTGGGCAGCATTTTTCTGTGAAACTACTAGCATTTAGTATTTATTTAATTAGATTTAGATGATACTATTTTGGCACGTTTGAAAGTGATATGCAATATTTTGTTGGTGTATCAACGATAATTTGAAACTATACTATGGTTAATATGCAATATTTTAATTTGATATATGGTTTGTGAGTGGTGTTGTTTATTTATTGATATAGTAGTGAATGAACATTATAAAATTTTCATGCTGGGGTACAATAAATTGATATTGGGGTATATCAGGGTATCAGTTTGCATTATAATTAAAAGACGTTCCATATGGGGTATAATGAACTGATGTTGATTACTTTTTAACCCATATAAAAAGGATTTTATATGGGGTATTACTGGACTGACATGGAAAACATTCGATAACGGTTAAATTCGTAACCGTTATAAAAAACATTCTATAAGGGGTACGAATACCCGACACGAAAAGAACCCGACTTTCTATATCGCTGGCTACTATGTCGTTACGGGAACCGACATAAAAAGTGTTTTTTAACCCATATAGAAAGTGTTTTCTACACTAGTGAATGTCAATTGACGGATAGGCACTTAAAGACATCTTTTGGCTCAAATCACCGCCATACCAATTGTTAAGGGTACCATCTTAACAATTAGAGACATTGCAACTCAAGTACCAAAAGTTCTATAAGTACAAAACCTTATGCTCATGGTTTTCAAATTCGTTTTCAAAAAGAAATTTTGAAGCTTCATTATGATGTTTACGGACTAAGGCTCTGATACCAATTAAATTGTTACGCCCCGGACCTAGCCGGACACGTCAACAACCCGCCGTACAGTACGAATAGTCAACCGCAGTCCAACTCATCCATACTATACAAGGCGTCATGAATATCATTCACACATAGTACATCCATAAACAAACATAATGTAAAACATTCATTTAAAACGGCGGAAGCCTTTAATAAAAATGTCTTAGCCACACTTTGGCAAACATGGGCATGCAAGCCCCCAAATAGTTATTCAAAATAATATCCATGAGCACTATTATAATTGTTTTGAAATCAGAAAACAGAAGAAGCACGAACCACGTCTTCTCCTCTGAATATCCCGAGCAACGGGCACCGGTAGCAACCTTCAAGTCCTACCTGAAACTGTGAGGTGGCCTCCCCCGTGAAGGGGAGGTCAGTACTTGGAAATATTTGACAAGTACAATAGCAACTATACTAAGTATAATCAACGTTTTAATTTCCAAGACCCTCAAAATAGGGTGATATCATAATATAAATAATAATTTATATTTCCCACTTATTATCCTTATAATAAGTAAATTTATTTATTCGTCGGCACACGGCCCTTCTTATATATCCCTTTTTATTTCTCATTTGCACAACCCAACCCTTGGGTCCTATTATTTCTACGGGACTTGCTACCGCTGTCCGAGACCTCATGAGGCTCCCGGTTCGGACTCCAACATCCCGCCCCTGGACTCATACCCATCATCCCGTAGGAAGGTAAGGCCCTTCGGGGTCCTATCTTATGTGTTACCGCTACCGGAACCTAGTTAGGTCTCCGATTCGGATTCCACCCTAACTCGTGATCACGATGTAAGTCCATGCTATCCAACCCCGCTCTCTAGAGTCGGGAAGGGCCATGGTCCTTACTATTTCCATAATTCGACCGGCTATCCACAAGGACTACCGAACACACCCGTAGGCCAATCCTATACTTAGGATCATTTTAATATTTGCATTATCTTGGGTATCCCTTAAGGCCTACCCCTAGTATAACTTAAAGTTCATACTTACCTACCTTAAAGCATCTCTTAAGACTACTTAAGGCATAACATTTCACAATCCAACCTTAGGATCAATCTTAACAACATTTCATTTTAATGTCCAACTAGTATCTTAATACTAGTCAAATTAATATCAACAAACCAAGTTCTCAACTCATAGTCATATAGACAATTCCAACTGATTTTCCTTTGAAAAAAATATCATTTATCTCAATATTTCAAATATCACTTTTAATCACTCATATATTCTAATATGAAGAAAAAGTATATTTCAACATATGTTTCATAATAAATTCCACTTTCAAGTCAACATACTCATGACACATGAACATACACAATTTACTCTTAAATTTGTATATCATGCTCCCTTTTTCTTTAGACATTTAGTCTTCTCATTTTTAGGCATTATTAATCATTAATAATCCATAAAAACACTTTTAATTACCTTCGGTAATCTCATGAAATTAACTCACTAATTATAAGCAATATAGTCAACCATCCTCACCTTATGATGTGTTCAACTAGATGCCTTTACGAAGCCCTTCGATAAATCCCCGTTCTTGGCCGATTGAAACGAGAATCCTGGACAGTAGCTGAAAGCCGCCCGGCTTTCGCCAAAAGCCGTCTGGCGTTCGTGTGCTGCAGGTTCGAGCAGCCTGCTATACTTAGCGGTTTCCGGCGATTTCGACTCCTATCGATTCACAAACACTCCTAAGTAAAATACCACCACTTTATATCAATATTCTACACTTTTAAACGTGTAGAACTCATGGTTTAATCCACCATATGATTTCTTAAAAATCATACAACAATAAACTAGTTAACTAATAGTTGTGGAGTTCTTACCTTGAACTCAACTATTTCTTGCGGATTTTTCCTAGCTTTTCTCTCCCTCCAACTAAGGCTTGAGTTCTGGCTTTTCCTGGAGCTCCTCCTTCTTGTTCTGGCCGAAAATAATGTGAGGGACAGGGGAGGAGTATCTCCACACAACCACCCTCAAGATAAGCCAAGGAATGGGACATGAGGTGTGGGTTTTTGTCCCTAGGAGGCTTCCCATCCTCTAGTCCGCACCAACCATGTTTGGTTGTCCCTCCCAGCTCCCATTCAGTCCATTAGTGTACATAAAATCGTGGGGTGGCCCCCACTCATGTGGGAGGTCATCCCCTTGTGTCCCGATGTGTACAATCAGCCCCGAAAGTTGTATTTTTCGGACTGTTTTAATCCTATTTTATTTTATCGGGCCAAATAAAATATATGACGTGTTCCCAAAGATTATGGGCCTTTAAAATAGATGTACATTCCTCAACATTAATTTAGGAGTCTCCGAAACTCATTTCGGGCTGTTATCCGCTAAATTACCAATACCGGTAATTAGGCCCCGATTGACCAACCGGTCAACTCCATGCCTTTCTTATGGCCCAAATAAAATATCCACAACCATGTAGATGTCATCTAGACCAAGATGAATATAATATGTGGTTCGGGAATTATCGGCGGTCCCCGTTCCCGCTGTGGGCCCCACATGCAATTTACTATTCACGTAAAAGAAATAATAAAAATTTACAATCACGCGAATTCTTAAATCATCCTCCAATGTTTATTACATAATTACTAAAAGTAAGCATGCTCGGGGTCGGTGTTACACACTAAACCTGAAACGAGCAAATTTAAGCCTAAAACGGTCGGAACTGAAACTCTGTCTATCAAAAGAATTTATAAAATCCAAACACCCAAACCAAACCTACTCGGACAAAAACAAAAATAAGTACTTTTCATTTACCCCAGTGCCGCAAAGGGTCCCACCTACGGTGGGGTAAGAGGGGGTTGGATGTACGCAGTCTTACCCCTGTACTAAAGCACAAAGAGACTGTTTCCGAATGACCCATAGTGAAAAACCCGTCCAAAATTGCATGGACTGACTGCTGCTTCATAACAAAGAAGCGCAGACAGTTTAGTGAGCCATTTTGCTTTATTTCATCATAATCTCAAGCCAAAAATAATGAATCTTTGGCTCCATTGCAAATGATGGAAACTTTAACAAAAACAAGTACTACTGAAGGAAAAATAATATTGAAATAAAGTCTTTCCAAAAAATTCTTCTTGATGCGGAAGTGGTTACGGAGGACAAGCTCTTGCAATAGGTGAATGCTAACTACACCACTGTCCGATCTGATCCAGTCAAAACCGAAATAATCCGGTCCGGTCCAGTCTAGGACCGGAATTATTCTAGTCTGGTCTTTGATCCAATACTTTAGTGACTCCGGTTCCGGTCCAAATTGGTTCTGGTCCGGTCCGGCCTGGTCTTGACCCGGTACTCACCCCTACACGCCTCCTTCCCGATTTTGATTCCGCTACATCTACATCTACATTCATGCTAGCATGAACTTCCACTTGTGAAAGTGCATAAATACTTCTTAGTGCTACAAATTACTCTTATGAGCAGTTTTTTATAAGTTGGGGGAAATCAACTTCTAAAAAATTGATCCTCATTCTACTTATGCTTTTAATAAAGAAGCGGAAGTAGAATCAATTCCAAACACCCCATTTTTTGAAAGGAAAAAAATGCTTAAATGAATATCAATAAGATTCACATCGTTACAATAAATTCAAAGAGACCAACACTGACAACAACTATCTGTAACCATCTAGTACTATCAACCTTATGAATATTCAAATAAAACTAAATCTAATTTAGTTCATAATATTTGTTACATAATACTCCATAATACATTTTAGATAACAAAATATATTTAAAAAATAATAAATAAACAATTAAGGTCCAACATGTCTGGACCTAAATATATAGGTTTAGACCGGAGCAGACTAGAATCAGAAACTTTAAAAATTTTGGACCAAAGACCAGACTAGTATGTAACCGGTCTGGATCCAGTCTGGACCGACCGATTAGGTTCGATCCGTTTTTTCAGTCTAGACCAGAATATGGTCACCCCTAATTACATGTAGCGATTACCTAATTAATACAACTTCTACTTACCATATACGGAGTATGATATATGTACATATATGTAGTAATGGGCGGCCAAAATTACATTGTTATTTGACATCGTAATTTACAAATATGTTATTGTGAAACTGTAGTAACATTGCTACTTTATACGTGTATAATATAAAGATATTTTTTTGAAAGATTATTTTATGATTAGTTATTTGATTTTTACTTAAATTATTTTATGTTAAGGTAAAAAAGTCATTTAATTTTTTCGTGAAGTATTTTATTGTATGGACTCATCCCAATAAGGATGTTTTTACTTGGACTGTAATATGATGGTCTGGTCTGGTCTTGTGTTGTCTGATTTCTTTGTATTTTTATAACTATCAAAGTTTGGTCTGGTCTGAACTGGTCTGGTCTGATCTGGGAGGAATTACCGTCCAAGTAAAAACATCCTAAGAGGCCGTTTGGCAACCCTCATTTTCGGCTTATCAGGCTTATCAGCCAACTTTTTTACCAAACACGTAAATTTTGCTTTCGCGCGCTGAATTGTGTAATAAGCCGAAAAAGTAAGGTTGAAGTTACTTTTTTGGCTGTATTGACTGAAGTTACTGTAGATGACCATTTTAGCTATTTTTACATATAATTTTTTCTTTATTCTATTAATAAAATATATTTTAAAAATATTTTTTTCTTGTATCAACAGAATCAGCCAATGCAGTCACTTCAGCCAGAACTTCATAAATTTCAGTAGAATCAGCCAAAACAGCCGATTTTCGGGCTCTAAATCGTCTTACCTGTGCCATCGCCTCTTCCTATGCATTAGGATGAACACGACTCTTACAACTATTCATCAACACCTAATTGCTTAGCCTTATGACTGGCAATCATTTTTATTTTTTGAAATTCCTACAATATTTTTAATATTTAGTCATGATCTTTAGTATGAAACAAATTTGTGTTCCATCCCTCCTATTAAGAGCCCGTTTAACAGCACGAAAATTGGCTGTTCTGGCTGATTCTGCTGAAATTTATGAAGTTCTGGCTGAAGTGGCTGCATTGGCTGATTCTGCTGATACAAGAAAAAAATATTTTTAAAATATATTTTATTAATAAAATAAAGAAAAAATTATATGTAAAAATAGCTAAAATAGTCATCTACAGTAACTTCAGCCAATACAGCCAGAAAAGTAACCCCAACCTTACTTTTTCGGCTTATTACACAATTCAACGCGCGAAAGCAAAATTTACGTGTTTGGTAAAAAAGTTGGCTGATAAGCCTGATAAGCCGAAAATGAGGGTGGCCAAACGGCCTCTTAATATTGTCAAATTTATGTTTTTCACTGATCCAACTTTTTTGTCAATTTCATTTGAAGTAAGAAACACTCCCTCCTTCTCTATATAGAGGTCTTCGTTCATTTTACACACATTTTAAAAAAGGGAAATTGTTTGACACTGTTTGACATTGTTTGGACGTTGCTTAACACTGTTTGGTACTGTTTAGACATTGTTTTGCATTATTTTGTTTGCCAAAAAAGAAAAGAGGACTTTTATTTAGGAACGACTCAAAAAAGAAAGATGAACTTTTATTTAGAGACATAGGGAGTATATAATTAAATTTATTTTCTCTACCATGTACAAAACTCAACCACACAACTTTACTTTATTGTTCTACTTATAAGTCAAATTTGACTAAATTTTGTTACACATAGGTAGTGTATCTTAAATTTTATAAAAATTACATAGTACGGAGTAGTTGTTTACCATAATCTTATACGTGGTTTTCCAATATTTGTCCAAGAGGTTATTCCCTATGAGTTAAAGACACCAATATTACTAAAAATTAACTCATGGACAAAAAAGTGACCTTTTAAAAAAAAATCCAGAAACGTGACTAAAAAAGGTTGAACAGACTATTTTGCCCTTACTAAAGCCCAACAGACCTGATACAGTAACCAATGCGTTACTGACTTACAGTGACCTAATTGACCAATGCGTTACTGACTTACAGTGACCTAATTGACCAATGTGTTACAGACTTACAGTGACCTAATTGACCAATGCGTTACAGTGACCTATGTCACAGTGAATATATTCCCAGTGACCGATGAGACTATATACCCAGTTACCCATGCCACAATTACCAACACTTAGTGACCCAGCTTGAGTGACATCTCGACTACAGTGACATCTGGCCCCAGACCACCCCGATCTCAGTGACCAAAGTGCCGGTTACCAACGCTCAATGACAATCGTCTCATTAACCACCCGAGCTCTAGTGATCACCCCGATCACAGTGACATCACTACCCCGTCAGTGACCAATTGATGTCTGCCATCTCCAAGCATTGCCGCCCCAGCCCCGCCCCTGACCCTGCCGCTGCCCCACCAGTCCACCCCAGCCCCCTTCCCCACAAGTCAACCTCTTCCCAACCAGCCCACCCAGTCCCCTTCCCCACAAGTCAACCTCTTCCCAACCAGCCCACCCCAACCCCGCCCATGTCACACTACAGTAGCCAACATTACCTCGCTGTCGACACCAGCACCTCACTGGCGACACTGTGGTCATCACCTCCGATGGTGACACCACCTCTGCCCTCTACCCCAGCCCCCTCCCCAGTTCCCAAAATTACTATTTCCCCAACCCAACCCTAGCCTCAAATGCCCTAATCTGGATCTAGGTCGTCCACCGCCACCCTGATTCAACCTATAACCTCAAAATCCTAGCCGCCGGTAACCTCACACAAATCTGGAATGAGGACGACGATGGTGTGCTCCCGTGTTCGACCTCGCCCCTGTATCTCCTCAATGCTTAATCGATCGAACAGAAAACAAGAAAAGGAGAAGACAAAGTGGGGTGGGACGTGGGATGTGACGGTGGAGGCAACGATGTAAGATGATGACGGAGACGCCAGTTCCACATCGAGGCAGAGCTTGAGCGAAGATGAGAGGTGTCAGTGCGACGGAGGTGCCGCGACGATGGAGGAGCTTCGATGATCGCAGAACTCGACTGATGCAGCGGTCGTGGATGTGCGGCTGCAGGTGAGCGTATTCAGACGAGAACATTGGGAATTTGGGAATTAGGGTTTGAATCATATTATATGAGGGGTGTATCTGTCCATTCATTTATAATTAGTCATATTTTTGTCCAGATTTAAAACAGGACTTATTTTTGTCTTTTAGAAGTGTGGTAGTATTATATCCGTCATTATTTCTACTCCCTAACACTAAAAGCCCTCACGCCCCAACCCGAAAGATCAAACGGCTATAAACTTTATACACGTGTTCAACACATAGGAACTATGTCCTCCACATCCACACGGTTGCTTAGGTTTCCATTTTTGGTTATTTGTCTAACTTTCCCACCTTTTCACTGATTTACCCGCTTTACCCGTTCAGCTACCGGTGGGGGTATGGTTTTGTCAATATTGACTTGTGCCACTGTCGACGGATCATAGCCGGGAAATGAAAATCTCCGTACTTTTTCTCACACACACTATCCGAAGCTTCCTCCGCTTCACTCTCTTTTTCTGTAAAATTCCTCTCTATACAAACTGCACACATATGGCTTCAATTTTTTTTTTTTGCCTCCCTGTTTTCTCGCACAGACAAGAAATGCCAAAATTTACCTCCACAGTTGGGGGAAAAGCCGTCTTCCCAATCTGCCACAGCTTCACGCCAATATCTTCTTTTCCTCCTCTCACAATTGTCTAGTTTCTGATTTTACGAGGTGCGTAGACAAACGCATTTAGAATCCTCTAAGTAATTGTGGGGTTCATTTGCTTTCAATTTTATCATGGTTGGATTTGATCACAGCTCCTTATTGTTGGCATTGATTAAATGTATGTTAATTACCTATATTCGTCTTTCTTTCTTGTTTAACATATACTCCGTACCAATTATTAATCATTTTGCATAGATTGTTCCACATTGACATTGGCTAAACATAAAATCAGAACAAATGTAATAAATTAATACTCCCTCTGACCCATAGAGAGGTTCCCACACGATATAAGATGTTTGAATGACCATAAATTGATCTTTGTCCATAATTAGATTTTTTTTATTAAATAAAATTTACATAGTCAGAAACTACTTTAAAAAACTCAAATTTCATATAAGTCGAATATATAAATTAAAATGTTTTAGAAGATTTTACGTTGATCGGAGAATAGTGGACGACAACCTTTGTATGGGACGGAGGTAGTAATTATTACTTTTGGTGAAAAGTAGTCCATAATACTTCTATCTTATGTTTAAAAGTATTATTTTCCATTGAAGAGCATTATGTTACACTTTTTTGTGAACTTTTGGGGGTCATTTTATGATATTCATACTGATACCAAAGAATGTCATCTGATTTCATCACTTGATTAATTTGCAAACTAGATGTTCAACTCTCGACCTTGAACACGAATACAAGATCATGGAGACCTTACATGATATTATCAGTTTATCACTTCGGTATAGGGTGACATTCACACATCAAATAAAATGCTTAGAAACTTCAGGTTGATATTCAAAGTAATACTTAGCATGATAGCATAGTGTACTGGTAGGAACATGAACCCTGAAGGGTTATTCAAAAAATATTTGTCTTGGAATATTATACACCAAATCCATGAAGGTCATGCGTGTGTATGTGTTTATAACAGCCCAGCTGCTAACAGAAGTAGTTATTCTAGTCTCCTGCCTTTAGGAATCATAAAGGGCAAAAAATACTCACTTAAAGAGAGTAGCAGAGAACAATAAAAAGGTCAGCATTTAAAGGAATGGTGAGGGTGTGCTGTACTATGGAATTTCCAGGGTGTATAAATAATATGTCTCCAGCATGATCTTGTTTTTTATTAATTTGATGGTGTTACCTTCTCTGTATTAATCAATTGTTAAGCTAGTTGCAATGTTATGTGATTCACTGATCCCTTGTGTACTCATAGTCTTCATTAGAAGTGGCAATCAGTGAGGCAGATGTGTTTTAACGTTTAACCTTTTCGTAGTGTTATGTTGCATCAAGAGATCTGTGTGCTTCATTTCTCTTAAGTTCACATATTTGTTCTGTTTTATGTGAAAGATATGCATACTTCCTAACTGACTTGGTGCATTATTTTATTTTTTGGTTAGCAGGTGCTAATTGATGCTTTTAACTGGTGCTTTACTATGACTACGTTTTGTAGTGGGTTAGTTTGTGCTTCCTAATAATATCTATAGTTGGCTTTGTATGGATTTTGTAGGTTTGAAGAATTAATCTTCCTTGTATATTATTGAGCCATCCGGCAATGATATATATACAAGTTTTCAGATAAACTAAAGTTGTTACAGATCCTAAATATTAGGATCTATCTATTCTTATCTACACTGCGAGCTAATCTAAGAATTAGAGACCTAAATCAACTCTAATTCCTATCTATACAGTTCCGGATGTACACATAATAAAATAACATGTATATGCTACATTTTTCTACACTCCCCCTCAAGTTGGTAAGTATATATCATACATTCCCAACTTGCTTATAAGAAATTCAAACACTGGTTTAAACAGCCCCTTTGTAAAGATATCAGTTGTTTGTTCTTTAGTAGATATGAATGGTGTGCACACAATTCCAGCTTCAATCTTCTCTTTGATAAAATGCCTGTCCACCTCAATGTGTTTAGTACGATCATGTAGCACAGGATTGTGAGCAATATTAATGGCTGCTTTATTGTCACAATATAACTTCATAGGTAGGTCCATTTCCATATTCAACTCTGTCATCATTCTCTTGATCCAAAGTAGTTCACAGATTCCATTAGCCATAGATCTAAATTCAGATTCTGCACTACTTCTGGCAACAACATTCTGCTTCTTACTCCTCCAAGTCACCAGATTCCCCCATACATAAGTACAATACCCAGATGTAGACCTTCTATCAGTTATTGAACCAGCATAATCTGCATCTGTAAAGGCTTCTACACTTCTATTGTCACTTCTTTTAAAAAATAATCCTTTCCCTGGACAGCTTTTCAAATATCTTAGGATCCTGTAGGTAGCATCTAGATGTTCCTGGAATGGATTATGCATGAACTGACTAACCATACTGACTGCAAAGGCAATATCTGGCCTTGTATGTGCCAGATAAATCAACCTTCCCACCAATCTTTGATATTGGTGAATATTAACTGGTACTCCTTCCTTGACATTTCCTAACTTTTGATTAGGGTCAATTGGAGTATCTATTGGTCTGCAGGCACTCATACCTGTTTCATGAAGTAGGTCTAGTAGATACTTCCTCTGGGATACCACAATTCCCTTCTTTGATCTGGCTATCTCCATGCCAAGAAAATACTTCAATTCTCCCAGGTCTTTGATTTCAAATTCCTGAGCAAGCTTCTTCTTCAGGTCTTCAATCTCTTCACAATAGTTTCCTGTAAGAATTATATCATCCACATAAACAATTAGTACTGCAATTTCTCCCTTAATGGAGAATTTCATGAATAGTGTATGGTCTGCTTGGGCTTGCTTGAATCCCTGCTTCTTTATGAATTGAGTAAACCTTTCAAACCAAGCCCTTGGGGACTGTTTAAGTCCATATAAGGCTTTCTCCAGCTTGCACACCTTTGAGCCATATTGCTCCTCAAACCCAGGAGGGGGGCTCATGTATACTTCCTCTTCAAGCTTCCCATTTAGGAAAGCATTCTTCACATCTAACTGTTGAAGAGGCCAGTCTAGGTTAGTAGCTAGAGATAGTAGGATCCTTATAGTATTTAATTTTGCAACTGGAGCAAAAGTTTCTGTATAATCTATGCCATAGGTTTGTGTGTATCCTTTGGCAACCAATCTGGCCTTATATCTTTCAAGTGTACCATCTGCCTTGAATTTAGGGGTAAACACCCATTTGCATCCCACTCTTGGTTTGTTTTTGGGTACTTCTACAGTCTGCCATGTCTGATTCTTTTCAAGGGCATTCATTTCTTCTAAAACAGCCTTCTTCCACTCAGGTATAGATAGGGCTTCCTGTATGGTTAAGGGAATAGAAACAGTGGAAAGGCTAGAGGTAAAGGCTGCAAATGATGTAGATAACTGAGAATAGGACAGATAGTTTGAGATAGGGTATTTAACACATGACCTTTTTTCTTTTCTGAGAGCAATGGGTAGATTTAGATCACTGAAATTATTACCTTTGTCATTTTCTGGCATTGAGTCAGATTCATGGACAGTGGCAGGATCAGGGATGTCCTCTATTCTGTGATTTGGAACTCTCCTTTCATAAACCTTGCAAAAAACTTACTTGTCTGCTGTTCATCATCTTTCCTTGTTTCAGAAAAAAAAAATTCATTTTCTTTTGACTCTTGACTATTTTCTAGTGCATCTAACTGTCTATTATATTGTGCATCTAGATTAATGTCAAGAGATTCTAGTTTTTCATGGATATGTGACACATTATTACCATCTTCATTAGGAATCTCCCCCTGAAGATGAGTACCAAAAAAAGGTTGATCTTCTACAAAAACAGTGTTCATAGTTATAAACATCTTTTTTGTTATAGGGTCAAAACATTTATAGCCTTTCTGAGTTGAAGATAGTCCTAAGAAAACACATTTTTTCCTCTAGGGTCAAATTTGCTTGCAGTTCTGTCAGGATTGGTAATAAAAACTGTGCAGCCAAAAATTTTTATGGGAAGAGAATTAATGAGTCTAGTTTCAGGAAAACTAGCTTGAAGAGTATCAATAGGAGTTTTGAATCCTAGAGTTTTTGATGGCATCCTATTAATTAGATAGGTAGCATGTAAAACAGCTTCTCCCCATAAATATTTTGGAATTTTAGCAGAAAACATAATTGCACGAGTGACTTCAAGTAAATGTCTATTTTTCCTCTCAGCTATTCCATTCTGAGCAGGTGTATTTACACAGGAACTTTGATGAATAATCCCTTTTTCAGCAAAAAAATTATTTAACTTCTTAGAAAAGTACTCAAGACCATTATCACTTCTCACAATTTTGATATTAGTGTTGAATTGAGTTTGGATCATTGAGTAAAACTTTTTGAACACTTCTTCAATCTCAGATTTTTCTTTAAGTAAAAACACCCATGTGACCCGTGTGTGATCATCTATGATAGTTACAAACCACCTTTTTACTTTCAGAGTTGAAACTCTATATGCACCCCAGATATCACTGTGTACAATAGTAACAGGACTAGTTGGCTTGTAACTATGAGGGATGTAAGAAATCCTATGATGTTTAGCAAGTGCACACATATCACAATGAAATGATGAAGGATTTTTATTAAGAAATAACTTAGGAAACAACATTTTCAGATAAGAAAAACTTGGGTGACCTAATCTATAGTGCATTAAATACACTTCATTATTACAAGGAAAGAAAATAGTTTGCAAACAAGTTTTTTCTTGACCTTGTTTATTCAATTGTGTTCCTTCATCAAAAGTATAGAGGCCATCTTCCTCTCTAGCACTGCCAATCATCTTCCCTGATGCCAGATCCTGAAAAATGCAATAAGAGGGAAAAAATTTTACACAACACTGAAGATCTTTAGTAATTTTTCTAATAGAGATAAGATTGCAGGAAAGTTTTGGAACATGTAAGACTTTGGAAAGGTTAATGGATGAGGAAATTTTAATATTTCTCATCCCTGCTATGGCTGAAAAAGAGCCATCTGCAACTCTAACTTTCTTATCTCCTGCACAAGGTTGATAAGAAGAAAAAAACTTTGGAATGTAGGTCATGTGGTCTGTTGCACCTGAGTCAATGACCCAGGTGTTTTTAGGTTTTTCAGAACAAAAATATGATGTTATTTTACCATTTTGGGCAAAAGAACAGGTAGAGTTTTCTTGGTTGGAGATTTTCTGGGTGGGTATGAATTTGAGTAGGTACTCTATCTGTTCCTGAGTGAATGGTAGCTGTTTAGATTCAACTCCTGCCTCTTGTTGAGTCTCAGTCACAGAAGTTTGTAGGGCCCTTTCTACTTTCTTCTTTCCAGCTCCTGGTGGTTTTCCATGAAGTTTCCAGCATGTATCCCTTGTGTGCCACAGTTTCTTGCAGTGATCACACCAAGGTTTTTTCTTGTTGTCATCACTTCTGGCCACCAAAGCTGAAGATTCCCCAGGTTCCTCATTAGGTACTGGAGTGTTGTACATGACCCTCCTCCTGCTATCTTCCAACCTGATCTCAGAGAAGACTTCTCTGATTGAGGCCAAGGGTTTCTTCCCCAGTATTCTGCCTTTTACTTCATCTAGGTCTCTATTCATTCCTGCTAGGAACATATAGACTCTGTCATTTTTCTCTCTCTTCTTGTGTCTTGCCAGATCCTTGGCACTTTCCCAGTCTTCAGCATCATAGCATTGATCCAATTCTTGCCATAGAGATACCATCTCATTATAGTATGAGATGACATCTCTATTTCCTTGTTTGGACTGCCACAACCTAGTTTTTAATTCATAGATCTGAGAAGAATTCTCAAGATCTGAGTAGGTTTCTTTGATTGAATCCCATACCTCTTTTGCAGTTCTCATGAACATGTGAGGTTTGGCAATTGATGCATCCATTGAACTGAGAAGCCAGGCTGTTACCAAAGAGTTCTCTGACCTCCAGACATTGTAGCCATCTTCACCATTCTTCTTCTCCTCTACTTCACCCGTTATGTATCCCAGTTTTCCTCTTCCATCTATTGCCAGTTTGACAGACTGTGACCACTCTAGGTAGTTGGTTCCATTCAATCTATGTCCAGTAATGAGCATAGATGAATTAACCGAGGCCTGGTAATTTGTCATTTGGCTAATTTGGGGGTTAGGATGATGGGTTTGTGAGTGGGTGGAGGAATCAGAGTGTTCAGTGTCCACCATTATGGTGTTTTAAACAACAAAGCTCTGATACCATGTAGGTTTGAAGAATTAATCTTCCTTGTATATTATTGAGCCATCCGGCAATGATATATATACAAGTTTACAGATAAACTAAAGTTGTTACAGATCCTAAATATTAGGATCTATCTATTCTTATCTACACTGCGAGCTAATCTAAGAATTAGAGACCTAAATCAACTCTAATTCCTATCTATACAGTTCCGGATGTACACATAATAAAATAACATGTATATGCTACATTTTTCTACAGATTTATAATGGCTGAAGGTGGAATTTGAAGGTGCACGTGTCATTGCTAAACTCAGTGTATCTAGACAATGTCAGGCTCTGTGAAATCATTGGAACCAGCATTTCAGGGAGCAGGCCAAAGAGTGTATCCTTTTTATGCACAAAACTCGATGTATTGATTAGTCTATCAGATGCCCATATGGTTTTACGCGGAAGTTGGGAATCTTCATGCATCATATATATCCGTGTACATGATTTATTACACGATCTTTTTAGGTATTTTCCCTTTGTGGTTGTCCTTAACTACCTGTAGAGGTACTGAGATCTGGAGAATTGAAAATTTTCAGCCAGTTCCTTTGCCAAAATCTGATTATGGGAAATTCTACTCAGGCGACTCTTACATCGTCTTGCAGGTAGTGCATATTGGTTACTGTTTTCACAATTTCTGTTCAGCATAACTCCGTCTCTTGATATACGTAATTAAAGGGACAGTGCTAAGACCAATTACTCAATACATCTTTTGTTTTTTCAGACAACTTCCGGTAAGGGAGTCAGTTATTTGTTTGATATACACTTTTGGCTTGGAAAAGATACTAGTCAGGTATTGCATTGCATTTTTCTTCTTATATATCACACTTTCAGTCTTACATCAAGCTTACCTTTCCTCTAAGATTTTGAAAATACATTAGGATGAAGCTGGAACAGCTGCAATTAAAACTATAGAACTCGATACAATGCTTGGAGGACGAGCAGTACATCACAGAGAAATCCAAGGTCATGAATCTGATAGGTTCTTATCCTACTTCAAACCATGCCTTATACCATTAGAAGGGGGTGTTGCATCTGGATTTAAGACACTAGAAGAGGGAGAATTTGAAACATGCTTATATGTGTGCAAGGGAAAAAGAGTTGTCAGGATGAAGCAGGCAAGATTTATCCAAACTGATTATATGTCTTACACTCTTACTCCCATCAAATGCTTGTATAATCTTCCTGCCCTATGATACAAGAGATTGTAATCTCATTCAGCTTGTTACCAGGTTCCATTCTCTCGTTCATCACTAAATCATGATGATGTCTTCATTCTGGATACAAAAGAGAAGATATATCAGTTCAATGGTGCAAACTCCAGCATTCAGGAAAGGGCCAAAGCATTAGAAGTAGTCCAGTTTTTGAAGGACACTCATCACAGTGGAGTTTGTATGGTTGCCATTGTAGGCAAGTATTCTATGTGTGTAATACAATATTACATTGTAAACTTCATGTCAGGGACCTCAACATAGTTGATATTGAAGTTATGATGATGATATCATGTCAGAAACATTGGCCACATAATTTTTTTAACTCTTTCTGAAACTTCATCATTTTGTTTACAGAAGATGGAAATCAAGCTGAACCCGACTCTGGTGAATTCTGGGAGCATTTTGGTGGGTTTGCTCCAATTTGCAGGAAGGTTGTTGGTGAAGATGATATCATTCCAGAGAAAACTCCTCCTAAACTCTTCTGGTATATCATGAGTTCAATAACTGTAGTTGCATCATCAATTTATATCTCTAAGTGAACCGTGTCAAGTTTGGCATATGAGTTCTCGACATTATTCATTAATTGTGAAATGGGCGTAGTTTCAAATTCGGCTTGACATTATGGTGCAAGTGTTGCTGAATTTTCATCTCCAAGATTCTCATAGGGTTAGGTTCTGATAGAATATAGTAATGACCACTTCTTTCTCTGCAGCATTGCAGATGGTCAACTCAATCCTGTAGATGGTGAACTTTCCAAATCTATTTTGGAAAGTACCAAATGCTATTTATTGGATTGTGGCACAGAGATATTTGTTTGGGTTGGGCGTGTTACTCAACTGGATGAGAGAAAAGTTGCCACTCAAGCTGCAGAGGTAGAAGATATTCCTCATATATCTATGTTAATCTGATGGTGTTTCTAATATTTCATGTAAAAAACTATTCTTAGGAATTCTTTGTCAGTCAAAATAGACCTAAATCAACCAAATTTACTCGGCTCATTCAAGGTCATGAGACACATTCATTTAAGTTTGAATTTGGTTCTTGGTCGTCTGAATCAACATCTGCACCTGAGGAAGGAAGAGGAAAAGTTGCAGGTAAGTTAGGCTCCTAATATCATGGTTGGAATTTTATCAAAGGGGAAAAACAAGTTAATTCCTTCTTAATTATTGTAGCTTTCCTGAAGCAACAAGGTGGTGGCATCAAAGCTTCAAGCAAAAGTGCACCTGCAAAGGAGGAAGTCCCCCCTCTACTTGATGGAGGTGGGAAAATAGAGGTAGAGTAATCTTCTTCTGTTTCATAGTGCTCGTGAAGTCTTATTGCGATGCTAAGAGTATCATTTATCAGGTATGGTGCATCAATGAAAATGGAAAGACTCCAGTTTCCAAAGAAGATGTTGGTAAATTTTACAGCGGAGATTGCTATATAGTTCTATACTCCTACCACTCTCATGATAAGAAAGAAGATTATTATCTTTGCTGGTGGATCGGGAAGGATAGTGTTGAGGTAATCTGACCTGCCAATTGAATATAAGTAATTAGCTAGACAGCAAATGTTTAACTAATGTTCTTCAATCTTTTGGTAAGCATATCTTCAAAATTGACAATTCTCACCAGATTACATCAAGAACTCTCATAACTTGCTCTTCTCTGTAAAAAAAGGAAAAATGGAATGTTAGAACCCTCCAGCAAAGCAGAAGAAATTAGTATTTTATTGATAGAATTTTCAAGACATTAACCGGATAACAATGGCTGCAACGGAAAGAAAGAGAAGAAACAGATCGAGACACTTCAAGTAGTCTCAGCACTCCCAAGCCTAATTCCAAATCCAATTTCTGCCTCCTCTATTCTACTCCCCCAACTCCTATTTATTCTTTTCCACTTGGGCTAGCCCAGTTCTATTTAATTCAGGGCCTAAACCCCTTTTAGTCTACAATATTAAAAGACCAATATTATTCTTATTATTAGTATTATCCAGGTCTCTATCACGGAACCAAAAAATATTGGCGACAAATTCATTTGATCTACCATGTGTGTTAAGATTCTTTGTAGTTAAAATTAATAGTACACAATGACATTTCATATACTATTTACCTCAGTGCTCAATGTATTTATATTTAAATTTGTTTTTTAATCACATGTTTATTAGTATATACTATATAGGATATATGTTAACTTTTCCATAAACATTGTTGACGATGAATTAGTTCTTTAAAAGTTAGTCTTATGAATCTAGGAGGACCAGATGATGGCAGCTGAAGTGGTCATGAAAATGTTCAAATCACTAAAAGGGAGACCTGTTATGGTATGCCTGAGTATGACTTCTGTTTGTATGCTTTGTAAATTAGATTTCTAAATATAGCTCGGATATCCTTTAGGGTCGGATATTTCAAGGGAAAGAGCCACCCCAATTTGTTGCCATATTCCAGCCCATGGTGATCCTTAAGGTACGTTCTCTCAGATGTCATTATGACATCTCATTTGACACCTACATTTGGAACATACATACATACATACGTACGTACGTACATACATACATACAAATATATATATATATATACATACATACAAATATATATATATACATACATACAAATATATATATGCATATATATATACATACATATATATATACATATATATATATATATATACATATATATATGTATATATATATGTATACATATATATATATACACATATATATGTATGTATGTATATATATATATGTATATATATATACATACACACACATATATATATACATACATACAAATCATATATACACACACACACACACACACACACACACACATATATATATATATATATATATATATATATATATATATATATATATATATATATATATATATATATATATATATATATATATATATATATATATAGGGGATGGTTCTTATGAGAACCCCTCTTAAAATGAGAGCTCATTTTAAAATAAGAACTTCTAATCTCCATCATTCAGTTTTATAATCAATGGCTCATACGGATAAGGTGGCATTTTTGTAGTCCCTCCGTCCCAATTTGTAAGATACATTACGGTTTACGATGTTTGACTGACGATAAAGCAAATTGATCCCTGTCAACACTCAAATTAGTTCTAGAAAATAAAATTTACATATTCAGAAACTACATTAAAACCGCTACAAAGTCTACAAAAAATAATTCAAATTTCACAAACTTTTTATATATAAAATAAAATATTAAGTGTGATTTATGTTGACCAAGTGAATAGTAAATGTATCTTACAATTTGGGACTGAGGGAGTAATTATTTAGGATTAATTGCAAAACAGTCCCATATGAATTTAGAGTAATTATGAATATGACCCCATGTGAATCATAACCAATGGTTGTAATAAATGAAAGATTGAGATTAAAAGTTCTCATTTTAGGAGGGGTTCTCACTAGTCACTTGAACCCTCCCCTTTATATATGCATTAAATAACCAATTTTTATATTATTTTATTAGGGTGGATTAAGCTCTGGATACAAGAATTACATTACAGACAAAGGTTTAAATGATGAAACTTATACTGCTCATTCAGTTGCTCTTGTCCGGATATCTGGAACATCTGCCCATAATAATAAAGCTGTTGAAGTTGATGCTGTAAGCGTATAAACTATTTTAATGTTCTATATTTTAGTTACTCTAAATTCATTCAATGATTGAAAATATTTTTAAGGCAGTCAGATGTGATTCTTGGTTTCTTTCAACATTCTTGTAGCCCAGCCCTATAGATTGAGCGTGGTAAGAACTGAGAAATATTTATTATAAATAATGTTTACGTTTTGTTTGTTTGTTTGTATGTTTTGGGGGTGGGGTGGGGTGGGTGGGGTGGCTGCCTCCAAATCTTGCAAACTAGCGTGGAGTGGGAACAAATAATTCCACCTTAAAAACATGATGATGTTCATGTATTCTGTTGCAGCAACTTTTCTCTCTTCATTTCTGCAACATATTTTTTCTTGATTAACTTCAATTTTTTTATACTCTATCTCATTCCTTTCTTTCTCCTGGAATATTAAAATATCATCCGCCATTTGAATCCTTTCCCTTTTCCTGGATGACTAAATTATCACCTCCACTTGAATCGTTTCATTTTGCCTGGATGTCCAATGTTTCTGTTGAGTATCTCATATCGGTTTCCTCTCAGTTTTATGTCAAGTATATAAGGGTGATGTAAACCTCTCCTCTTGAGGATTTTCTGGTTGAGGTAGGCCCAATTTAACAGTTCTATAAATTTTTGTTTTTGTTTTTCGCACAAAAGAAGTATTAATGCATAGTGGATTTGTCTTCAGCTCTCTCATTCCCGTTCGATCTTCTCCGGAGAGTATATTCATACCGGAAAAGTTGGAGGCTTGCATGGTTCTTACTAGTATAATATAGGGAAGTGGGATCAGGCTTTTGTAGTTGTGTTTTTTTTTTGGGGGGGGGGGGGGCTGAAATAACCAGTTCAGTGATTGGTTTATTACATCAACTAACAAGTACTGTTTATGGTCTCATAGGCATTTGAAATACTTTAGTCATTACTACATATTGTTTTCATTTTTTTATGTTTTTTTTTGTTTTTATCAGGTGGCAACATCACTCAACTCTAATGAATGCTTTATTCTTCAATCTGGCTCAATGTTCATTTGGCACGGAATCCACAGTACTTATGAGCAGCAACAGCTAGCTGCAAAGGTTGCTGAATTCTTGAAGGTAAATGTTATCTTGACACATTTGTGAAGGTGGTTTCTCTATTCTTTCACGCTTTCCTCCTAGATCCAAGTAACTCGGCACACTGCCCCTTTACCACTCATAGTGAATTGTGTAGTTCCTTCCGATGCATGTCTAATTTATTCAATTTTTAAAAAAACTCAGCCAGGAGTGTCAGTGAAACACACTAAAGAAGGAGCTGAGATATCAGCTTTCTGGTCTGCTCTTGGTGATAAAGAGAGCTACATTAGCAAGAAGGCACCTGCAGAGTTTATGTTCCGTGATCCCCACATGTTCACACATTCCATCAACAGAGGTGCATTTTGATATGCACATCGTTTTTAGTTTTCTTTGTTGTATTTTCTTTCAAGAATAAGTGTTTCCACTGACATTTTTATCTTGTCATTTTGCTATCATATGCATCTCCAGGTAAATTTGAGGTAAGTTCTGAAAGTTGGGCCTAATTCCTTCACATATTCCTATGTATTAATTAATAGCTCTGTAACACAGTTCTTCCCCGTCTATCATATGTTAGGTCAAGGAAGTGTACAACTTTTCTCAAGACGATCTTTTAACTGAGGATGTCTTGATACTGGACACACATGCTGAAGTCTTTATATGGATTGGTCAGTTGGCTGACCCCAACGACAAGCAAACTGCTTTTGAAATTGGGCAGGTAACCAATAATTTTCTGATGTTTCTTACGATGAAAATAGCTCTTTAGTATTGGTTTAGATGGTTTTGGGTTTTCATTGCAGAAATACATTGAGATAGCCTCATCTTTGGAAGGATTGTCCCCTAATGTTCCACTGTATAAAGTCACAGAGGGAAATGAGCCATGCTTCTTCACCACATTCTTTTCTTGGGATCCTGCAAAAGCTTTTGTATGTTACAAAGGCACTATTATTTTGGTGTTATGTTTGTCGTCTCAGAATGTATGATAATTAGCACTTGAAAAAGTATGTTCATGGAATGAAATACGTGGTGATTTCTGCCTCAAGGGGTAGTCGAGTGATCTAGATCTCTTTAATAAGATTTTGAAATGTGCTTACGATTATTTGGGGGTTATTGTGAAAGATGTGAGGGGTTTTCCATAAAGGCCATGAGCAGTTGCTCCTGGGGGGGGGGGGGGGGCTAAATAAGGCTTAGCTGATCGTATTATTACAGAGTCAAGTTTGACAAGAATAACTTGAGCGTAGAGGCATTGGGTGGGGGAAATTGTTGTGTACTTGTGTAGTTAATGCAAGATAAAATATTACGAAATTTCCCTAAATAAGACAAATAGGAGTAATCCGCCATGAGATCATTTTTTTGATATCATGCCTCTCCCAAGTCAGGATAAAGGAGGAGGGTACTGTGGTAGGCGCGTGACGGCCAACAGTATCACTTAGTCACATCACATGACATGAATCGAAATATGAATATCGCTACAGCTAGGTCGTCGCCCGTAAGCGACACGTCATCCCTCCGCCTGGGGGTGGTGTCAAATGAGCAAGGGCGCGCTACACTTCATAGGCCAGGGTGTGGTGATAAGAATGCTAAGGCTGCTAGGTCGTCGCTCGGAAGCGATGCGCCACTCCAATGCCCGAGGATGGTGTCAAATATGCAAGGGCATGGTGGGGGTCGACGTGGGGTGAAGAAGAGAAGGCAGGGTGTTAGATTGCGCTTTGGGACATGGACTGTTGGCTCTCTTACGGGAAGATCATCAGAGATAGCCGAGGATATGAAGAGGAGGAATATCAGCATAATGTGCATGCAAGAAACTAAGTGGATTGGAGAAAAGGCACGCGAGATTAATCCCGGAGGTTTTAAGCTTTGGTACTCGGGGAGAGAGAGGAACAGAAATGGAGTAGGCATTATGGTGGCACATGATTATGTTGACGGTGTGGTTGAAGTGTTTAGGAAGAACGATCGCATCATGAGCATTAAGTTGATAATAGGGGATGAGATCGTGTTCATGGTTAGTGCCTATGCTCCACAAGTGGGATTGGATGCTATCTATCACTCAACAATTTTGGGAGGATCTTGAGGAAGTGGTGCGACAAGTGCCAAGGGGAGAGAAACTGGTCATAGGAGGCGACCTCAACGGGCATGTGGGCCCAAGTCGTGATAGTTTTGAGAGTGTCCATGGCGGACATGGTTTTGGCACTCGAAATGAAGCGGGGAAGAACATTCTGGATTTTGCCTCGACATATGAGTTGGCTGTGATGAACACTTGGTTCAAGAAAAGAGATTCTCACCTTGTCACCTATAGAAGTGGAGCTAATAGTATCCAAATTGACTACTTTTTAGTACGGACGACTTGGAGAACTAGCTACACTGATTGTAAGGTTATCCCAGGTGAGAGCGCTGTCACTCAGCATAGGATGCTTGTGCTTGATTTTCGAGGTAAAAAGAGGGGACAAGTTAAGGTACAAGGGGAGCCAAAGATAAAATGGTGGAGGCTCGAGGGGAATCTCCAACAAAGTTTTGCACACAAAATGTTGGAGGAAGATGTTTGGTCTATTGATAATGATGCACACGTGGATGATGTGTGGTTATCATTGGAGTCCACCAAGACCACCATTAACAAAGCGGCGAAGGAGATACTCGGAGAATCTAAAGGATGTCTGCCACCAAAAAAGGACACATCTTGGTGGAATGATGAGGTGAAACAAGCAATAAGGGCCAAAAGAGAATGCTATAAGAATTTGGACAAAAGTTGGAGCGACGAGAACATAGAGGAGTAAAAAGAGACTAGAAAAAGAGCAAAGAAAGCTGTGAAGGAAGCCAAAGGAAAAGTGAATAAGGAATTGTATGCAAAGTTGGATTCTAAGGAAGGAGAAAAAGATATCTACAGACTTGCTCGCCTTCGTGACCGTAGGACTCAAGATATCAGAAAAGTTAAGTGTGTGAAGGATGTAGATCAAAGGGTACTAATGGACGACGAAGAAATAAAAGAGAGGTGGAGGTCATACTTTGATACCTTGTTCAACGGGAATAAAGTCCATGGTATTAATGATCTTACTATACCAGAGTGTATGGTAAATAGGGACTTCGTGAGAAGGATTCAAACAACAGAAGTTAAAGAGGCAATGAGAAAAATGGGCCGGAAGAAAGCAGTGGGCCCAGATGGCATACCGATCGAGGCTTGGAGAAGTTTGGGAGAGAAAGGCATCGAGTGGCTAACACGTTTCTTCAACATGATTTGGAGAAACAACAAAATACCAGTGAGTTGGCGGAAGAGTACTCTCATTCCCTTATTTAAAAATAAGGGTGATGTACAAGAATGTGCTAACTATCGAGGGATTAAGCTTATGAGTCACACCATGAAACTTTGGGAGCTAGTGGTTAAGCAAAGACTACGTAAAAGTGTGAAAATTTCGGAGAATCAATTTGGTTTTATGCCTGGACGCTCAACAAGTCAGGCCATTCACCTTCTTAGACAAGTTGTGGAGAAGTATAGATACACTAAAAAGGATATGCATTTGGTGTTCATTGACTTAGAAAATGCATATGATAGGGTACCTCGAGAAGTTCTTTGGTGGGCCTTAACTAGAAAAGACATGTCACGTAAGTATATCAGCATCATCATGGATATGTATGATGCTTGTACTACAAGTGTCCGCACTAGTGTAGGGAGGACCGCAGAGTTCCCTATTACTATTGGAGTGCACCAAGGATCTGCTCTGAGTCCTTTCTTATTTGCTTTAGTCATGGATGAACTTACGAAGTCAATTCAAGAAGATATACCGTGGTGCATGATGTTTGCCGACGATATTGTATTGATTGATGAGACACAATCCGGTGTTAAAGCAAAGTTGGAAGTATGGTGACAAACATTGGAGAGCAAGGGTTTCAAATTGAGCCAAAGCAAGACTGAGTATATGGAGTGCAAGTTCGGTGGAGGTAGAAGCAGTAGCAACAGTGGGATTACTCTTGATGGTAAGGAGATACCGGTGTGTGATATGTTCCGTTACTTGGGATCCATAATTCAGAAGGATGGTGAATTAGATGGAGATGTATGTCATAGAATCAGAGCTGGGTGGATGAAATGGAAAAGTGCTTCAGGATTTCTATGCGATCGAGGTATGTCGACTAAACTGAAAGGTAAATTTTATCGTACAACAATATGGCGTAGAGTGTTGGGCGGTGAAGCAATGCCACATTCAAAAGATGAGTGTGACAGAGATGCGTATGTTGCGTTGGATGTGTGGACATACCAGAAAAGACCGCCTGAGGAATGAGGTAATCAGACAAAAGGTGGGAGTAGCACCTATAGAATATAAGATGCAGGAGTCTCGTTTGCGGTGGTTTGGGCATGAGCATAGAAGATCGAGTGATGCACCTGTTAGACGACTTGAGGGGTGGGAAGAAGAGTCAGAGAAGAGAGGGAGGGGAAGACCCAAACAGACTTGGATTAGAGTAATCAGAACTTATATGCGTCTTCTTGGGTTGGATGAGAGTATGGCTTTGGAGAGAGCAAAGTGGAGGGCGCACATCCATGTGGACGATTGATGTCTTGTCTACCTTTCCTCTCTTGTTTCTTTTATCGTTTATCTTCCTTATCTTTTTATATTCTTATGTTATTTTTATCTTCTAGCTTTTTTATGCTCTTTTATTTATTTTTCTTTTATCTTGGTTATATTCTTGTGTTATTGTTATCTTATATTTATGTATCTTTATTTTATTCATTTTATCTTACTTTTTTTTTCCTTTTCTTGTCCGCCTTCTCTTTTTGACCTCGATATCATAGATCGATTCATGTTAGCTGACCCCAAATTCTTTTGGGATTAAGGCTTGGATGTTGTTGTTGTTGAAGACAAATAGGAGTAATTACTTCCATACTATGACAATAATACTGCCATTTTAATGTCTGGTAAGCCATAATATGGCAGATTTCAGCATGGCAATACTCTACTTGTATTTCAAAGGGGAAAACATTGTTCACCTTTTAGGGAAATCATCTTGTTTTTACTCTTATTTTGGGAAATTTTCCTATCATATTCCGATATTTGTGGATAACTTGTCCCATCTTATTTGAAGAGAAACCATGATATCCTCATTGTGAGAGGATTCAGTGATGAAAAAATAAAAAATACTAGTATATTTTTTCAGGTTGGGAACCTTTAAAAAATACTTCATTTCTCCCAAAAAAAATTCTTGTTTCATCAAGGTGTTATTTTTAATTTGACAAGATACAATTGTTATAAATCGTAACCCTACTTATTTTGGTATTTTTTATTTGTTCTAACTGCATTTATCATAAGTAACTGACATAACTTAGTTTTGGCAAAGCCAAACACCTTGTGGTTCGATAGCATCACTGTGACACTCCCAAGGAGGAGGTCACAGGTTCGAAACCCATCCCAATCAAGGATGTTGACATTTAACAGAACGGATACTATAAGAAAGAGAGAAAGTAAAGCCAAAAAAACTTGGTTTTGGCAATTTACATGAAAAAAATCAAACATGAACTCTCTTTTTTTGAACAAGAAAAAGTTTAAAGCATGACAAGAAAAATAAATGTGGACTCATGCTCCCATACTTCAGTAATTGGTTTATATAATCAGCTCTGGGCTGCCACCAGGTGAAAACATTGTTATTTCATATAATGATAACTGCATTTAAACTTATTTTTTTACCATTTTTGTTTTGTCAAATATGTAATTACAGCATAGTAAACTGACATTCATATGTGATGTTAGTCTGTACTGATGTGATTGTAATATGGCATGCACATAGCATGCCCAGTTTCCTTGAATAGTATATTGTGGTCCCTTTTTAATCAAACTCTGAGTTTTACATTTTACTGTAACCCGTAGGCACATGGAAACTCATTCCAGAAGAAGGTTATGTTACTCCTCGGTGCAGGTCATGCTGCGGAGGTAATTGGTAGACCCTGTTTTCATTTCAATGTCTTTTGTGCAGTTTACCACCATATTAAGGAAAGATAGCTTGATTTTTTAAAATCTTGCCACTTCATATGCTGTAAAATATTTTTATGTGAATGTAATAATAATGGTGTGGATCATTGTTCTGAATGACTATTTCTTAGATTTTGGCAATAGGTTCTGCCTCTTTGAAGCAAAGTCATATTTGAAGCTAACATTTATCTTTAAAATCTGAATTTGATTCCACTATCAGGAAACATGCAATCAAGATGGGCCAACACAAAGGGCTTCAGCTTTGGCTGCTCTGAACTCTGCATTTTATTCAACTTCTTCTTCATCTAAACCTTCTTCTCCGAGACCAGTAGGGGCAACTCAGGGATCACAAAGGGCAGCTGCTATAGCTGCCTTATCTTCTGTTCTTACAGCTGAAAATAAGCAGGCACCCATCAAAAGCCCTTCAGCAGAATCAAGTCCTACAGGTAAACCTACCTTACCTCTGTTAAATTTTATACTCCGTAAGATTTACCTTAATGCATAATTATGTCAGTGATATAAGTTGTTTTGAACATAAACAGAGATTCACTTTTTATATAATATTGATCCATGCTCAATGCTTTTGTTTTCTGTTCTCTGTTTCCCTCTAACTTCTCTGAAAAAAACAAGAAAAACTCGTTAATTTCTGAAAAACTATTGGAAATGGTGTTTTTCTTGTTTTCATTGTTTCGGAAGCATGTTTCTGGTTTTGACCCCACTTTGTATAGACCATTTTGAACTTCTATAATATATATTTTCATAATGAATACTGTATGTCATATATCCAATACCTCAAATATTACAATATTATGAAAATTTGAAAACGAAAACTAAGTTCTCAAAAGCAGAGAACACAAAACATAACCAAGTATATGTTGCACCGCTCCTTTTTAGTTATTTTTCTATTTTTCTATTTTTGTTTTTTAACTTGAAGATTTGGATGTTTGACATGCTTGTAAATATGTGCAGCTGGAATAGAAAATGAAAAGGCTTCTGCCAAGATTGAAGATTCTGAAGTATCTCCTGAAGTTAATGAAACAGATGCAAAATCTACACATGAGACTAATGAAGAGGAGGATGATGATGATGAAGGGAGGCCTGAAGAAGAGCAAGATGGAAATGATAGCGAAAGCAATCCTCCCATATTCAGTTACGAACAACTAAAGGTCAAAACTGAAAATCCCATAACTGGAATCGACTATAAAAGGAGAGAGGTTTGTACCTAAAATCTCATACCGCTTCCATGTTTTTATAAGAAATTATTCATCTTTGCTGTTTTCAACTTCTGTGTTTCGATTAATTTTCAGTATTATCTGTCCGATGAGGAATTCGAGGCAGTCCTAGAAATGCCAAAGGAAGCCTTCTACAAGTTGCCAAAATGGAAACAAGATCAGCTTAAGAAGAGAGTTGATCTCTTTTAGGAACCAAGAGTTAATGCCATTAGCATTTAGCTTCCCCCTCACTTGATCATCTACACATCTGACATGGGTTCTATTACCATTATTGAACAACCTCTTTTATATGTCCATTATATTTACTTCGTTTGATATTTGAAATACTCCTTTCCTTTTTCTTTTAATGTTTTGAAATGCTGTCTTGTAGAGCTACTTTTTATTACATGATGCCATGATGGTATGAAGATTGTAGTTGCTTTGGATGGAGTGTCCAGATGTGTTAGTAATGGAAGAGTTAGAAAGTGTAGATACCCATAAAGAAGGTGTAAACTGTAAAGTTTAAACTTATATTGTTTGAGAGTTAAAAAGTGAGTGTTAGTAAGCAAGTGAATTCACATAAATTGAACTCAAAGACATCTGAACCACTTATACACACTTTTAGAGTTCTAGCTCTATAAATGCCGATTGGCGTAGCTCAATTGGTAGATAGAGAGTGCAACAAAGGATAAGTCTCGGATTTGAGTCTTGCAACTGCGATGATAGGTTACCATGTAAAAATGCATAGAACCTATGCAAATATCTGGACCAGATTCTTATTCGCTATCTACTACCTTGTGATTAAAGTCTAATTTATATGCTTTCAGTTAACTGTCTGTCCGGTGATTGGGGCCCTCAGGGATCGGTCATCATCCTTTTTTCTAGTTCTACTGTTCTACAATACATCGGTTGCAAAATATAAATTGCAAAAGTATGAGTAAGCATAGTGTCATAATTTTTTTTGAAAGACAATTAATATAATATAAACAATATATTTATATAAAAATATTGAATATTGGTTTGAGTGGTGTGTCTGTGTTATGTAGAAACTTTTTTAAAACCCCTCCTCCCATCTCAATAATAGCCTCTCTTTTGACTTTTTTATAAATTAAATAAGTCTAAATTATGTAATTGAGAGGTGTCAGGAAAAGTGAAAGAATATTAACTCCAATTTTCTTATCAAAGGAAAATAAATTGGGATCAATGTTGAATAACTTGAATTCTTGAGGTGCACGACTCCATGGAGAGTTTGTAAGTTAAAATCCAAAATTTGAAAATAAAGGAGAAAGGAAAAAACGAGTCATGGAGAGTTTGTCAGAAAGCTTCCAACTCATGGGAAAAGTAGGAGTTGCATATACGTAGTATTAGGAAAATTAGAACATTGACCGAGGATTGAAATTCGCAGCAATCGTGTGCAGGTTACGGCTCATGCGTGCTGGGCTAGACCTCTGGTGCGTACGGGTACAAGGTCTATCATCATCGGGTTGACTGAGTCACCGTGATTTACATCCCCCCAAATCCCTTATCGGGTCAGGGTGTTAGGGGTCTTTGGGGTTGGGGATTCAACCATTTGGAACAAGATAAATAACTATTAGCTTGTGTATCACGTTTCCTATACGGTACAACCGGCGTACAACCATTAGGTTGTACGGTGAGCGGCGTACAGCCGGTGGCATTTTGGTAACTCAAATAAAATTCACACTTCCGCTAAATGAGCATTAATGCTATTTTAGTAAGCATCAGACATATTCTGATGAGTATTAAAAAGCTAACAATGAACATTGTGAACTTTACTTCATATCTTTTAATTCATTTTTTTTCTTCTATAAAAACTTATTAAATAATATTTATAATCAACTTTTATGAATTTCAATATGTGAATCTAATGCAATATGATACTTTAAAAATATGCATTGATATGACATTTTAAAATGAACAAACGTTAGTATGAAATGAACATACATAAGTTACAAAATGAGCGTTGATATGAAAATTTTAACCTTTTTAGTTGAATATCAAAACATTTTCTTTGAACATCAAACATCCTCTATTGTTTATTAGAATCATGTATATGATAGTTTTGAAGTATGCATTGATATGACATTTTAAATGATCATAACATCAACACACCAAATGAGCATTGATATGAAAATTGTAAACTTTGTTAGTTGAGAATCAAAACATTTTCATTGAGCATCACATCTAGCTCCTCTATTGAGTATTAGAATAATGTAATATGGTACTTTTGAGATATGTATTAATGTGACATTTTAATATAACATATTAAAATTATTGTAGATTGATAAAGTTATTTATAACAGATTACGGAGTACTTGATAAGGGGAAAGTTAGTCAACACCAAAGTAATGCCTAAATTATTGTATACTTGATTATTAATTAGTGATAAGTTTGATAAAGTTTTTCGATTTAAATATAACAGCTTTCTAGAGTGTTATAGAAAAATATATTTGCGAAATAGAAATACATGATTACTAGAGATGTTTGAAATAAAATGTTTATCATTTCACGCTAGCACGATTGCACGAAATTGTTTAAGAAAAATTAAATTATGTGCATGGTTGATATTAAAATTAGAAAAAGTGTAAATAAAGTAAAAACGAATCAAAATAACATAAACATTATTAAATATAGTATGCGACAAACTTGATGACACGTACGAAAGGAAGAAAAATTGAAAAATCTAGTTCGAATAATGTTTTTTTTTTTAGTTTTTTAGGTTCTAATAATGCGACTATATATAATGTGATCGTAAACTAATTGAAAAACTTATATGATGAAAAGAAATAGAGTACTTGATTTATGGAATCTAATAATATGAATAGAATAGTTTTTTCATAAAGCAGGTCAGACTATATATACTTCTTCATTCCAAAAGTTTCTTACTTCAAAACTTTTTTAACCCATTTCTTCTTTGTTTAAAAAAATAAAGTAATTTTAGCATATACTCCATATAATATTTCTATCAATTAAATAGGATAGTGATGTTAAATTTAATTAGATATACCATTAAATAATTTTATTTAATGTTTAATAAACATACTCCGTATTTGAAAAAACTCGGCAATGATCACTGCTTAACGAAAATATACTCCGTGTGATGGTGGAGTATTATGATTTTTATAGGGATAGGGAGCTTTTTTGTCAAACATAAAGATCAAGTACTAAAAACCGATATTCAATCTATCAATTAGACTCCACAATACTAAAAAACATTGAGCATTTTGATAATCTTCTTTTGAATGAAGTTAATTATAGTTATTATAATAATAAGTACTTTAAGTGCATCCAATGTCTTAGTTGATAGCACCTTTTAAAATTCTACTGACCATTAACTATTTTACCTAATGATTATTTTTTTAAGTATCTAATGATTGTTATAGACTGAAATGAGATTGGTTAGTTTAACCCATTCAAAAAGACACTCGACTCAACAGACTTGGTCATTACGTAAGTGAATAACTAATGACCATTGACGGAGCCAGAAAATCTATGATTAGGAGGTCGGGTGTTGAAAATTTTACATTAAGGGGACCAACGTTTAAAATTTCAACAAATTTCATAGATTAAAAGTATTTATACATAATATATACTTATTTTTTTTGTAGGGACCGAGGCTTCCTTCAGCCTCTCCCTGTCTCCACCCCTGCTAATGACTCTTCAAAGCATTAGATCAAGACTACCCTATTGCCTGAACTAAACTATAGTCTAGAAAACGAAAAAAGTTGTTGAAACTGAAAATATGAGTTAAATGAAGTAAATTCTCGCTCTTAGCATATGAAATATACGGGGTAGTAAATATGAAAATGTAAAGTTACTATAAAAACATAAAACTTGATGGAAACAAAACAACTTTTGAATAATGGGATGATAAAATTGATGTAAGGTTACACTGAATTAAAAAGTTGAACTAAAATATTCAAATTAATAACATTCCGAATTATATGATTATTGTTTTCTCGATCAATTTCATCTCTTTATCCTTTTAAGATGAACTCAAAATGAATTGAAATGACTACAGAGATATTGCCTAATTATTAAATGTACATTAGTTTTGTGGATATATTGCATTTGATCAAATTCAAGCAACTTAAAATGTTTTTAATTGAATTAATTGGTTTCCATCCTACTTCAAATCAAACTTAAACATACCGAACAAGACTAAATTTTGATAAGGATTATTAACTTATTTTATCCCAAACTCTCATCAAATTCACATACTTATCTTATTCTTTCACTTTTGTCAAAAAGACTCAAACTTCATCTTTTTCAACAATTATGTTTTTCTTAACCTTTTTTGTTTTTCCATAATTGCACATTTTCATTAATACCTATAAAATATACTTCGTATGCAATACACGTTTGTAACCTTAAAACTAGAAAGTAGTAAACCAACATGAAATGAAATTATGATTATATTCTTAAGTTTTACTAATTCATCTATTAAAAGTGTAAGTGTGAGAAAAGTTGAAGTTTGAATGTTTTTTTAATAAAAGTGAAAGTGTGGGATAAATTTGAGAATTTGATGATAATTAGGGATATATTTAACTAATAATCATTTTGATAATTATAATATATACATAAAACAAACATTTACCAGATTGGTTCAGATCAAACTCTAACAAATTTAAATTGATCAAATTTACAAATTAAAGTTCAATTAAAAACATCAAATGTCATTGATGGATTATTAGGATCCAAACATATATAAAATGGAGAGATTGAGCTCAAGAGAGGGAAGAAGATGATGAATAGTAGAATATTTGTATGGAGTATATATGAATTAAGAACTAGGGTTACAAGTCTCCCAAATGGAGTATAAATAGATAAATAATGGGTTGGGCCGCTAATATGGGCATGTTGGAGAATTGATACTCATATCCTATAACTAAAGAGATTTGAACAAGAGTGTAGCAGAGAAGGAGATAAGTGTGTATAGAATCAATATTGGTTGTGGTTCAATAGCCTTCTATAAGGAGTATATATAGGGAAAATCCGGTTCTTGGCCTCTAATATGGGCCTGACAGACCCCATTGCATAAATGGAGTGATAGTAAAAAAACTAATCCAGAACATCTGAATAATAATAATAATGTACAATAATATGAATGACATCCGCTAAACGTGTGTGGACCGTTGTCCAGGCCCAGTAGTCGGCAGACCGGGGGGGTCGGAGTCCATATACTCCATCAGGAGTCCCCCACTCCCTGAGTCGAGAGTACTCGAGGTGAAAGGGAGTAGTCCAAACTGCATTTGCAACGTTCTTCTGTCTTTGATTTCTTCCTCTCCGGCCGGGGACCACCACCCTTGTCCATGATGGGGAGGTGCCTCGTTAAAAACCTTTACTAGGAAAAAATCCAGTGGGAAAAAATCCTAATAAAGGGAAAAAGAGTACACCTAGCGCCCCCAACATGAAACAAGGAAGGTAGGCCCTCCCTGACATAATTACTTTTGTCTAGCTCAACCCGTCTTCATCTGACTTAGCTCTCGTTCCTGTTCATGCGTGATATTTGCTGCTCATCTAGAAAATCTGACCCCTCAGTCCCCCAGTCCCCCACTCTTTGAGGCGAGTGGAGACAAGGTAAAAAATGAGTAAAGTCATCTTCGTACCTACACATTTAACATACATATAAAAATTT